ATTTGAAAAAAAGTCAAATAAATAGCTTTCTTATTTATACATAGATCATAAATATATAGTTGAAATATTCAGAAGAACCGTGGCATATAGTACGTCGAATACTAATATTTTGTGCTATTGTTAAGAATATCAAGTTGTAAAAATCTTTCAAGGCTGAGTGTGGGCGTGGTTGTGAGGTGGGTATTGGTGGGTATTGGTGGGTGAAGATGAGTGAGGATGCGTGAGTATGGATCGGTGGGTGTAGGCGTTGTATTGATTCGTGACCAGACCACACTCCATTCACACCCACACCGACACACAGATGAAATATTAACGTATTTTTTGCTTATACATTGTCATTGACATTATATTAATATGCATATGCATCGTTTCTCGTTGTAATTATTGCAGTGAAAATATATTGATTCAAATATAAGAAAAGAATGAAAGAAGAATATGACAAAAATATAAATAATAAACGTTCTTTTTGTTTTCTCCGTTTTATATATTATAGTGCTGAATGACGAATATCTCTGTGATATAATCAATAATGAACAAGATGCACCTTTATGCAGATAATTAATTGCTAAAGAATTTATATCATATCATTCTATTATCATCTCTGATCATTCATAGTTTTTGTTAAACGATGCTTTCAATGAAAAATTATTTTTTCTCGCTGGACATTATTCTTCGAAAGAAACTATTGATAAAGCGGGTGCGCCATAATAAATGGCGGTGTCAGTATTTTCTCAGTTTCTCTGCCAGTTTTCATAATTTCGGACTCAAGTTTTTTTCAGAAGATTTAGCATATAATTATCTACAGAACCGTATACAAACGGGTGTCATAAGAGTAAAAGCGAAAAATTTATTGTAGTAATAGTGCGAACGTGTAATATCTTGAGGGTGGGTGTGGGTATAAAATAGATTTAATGCCAACACTCACAGCCACATCCAAATCCGCCCGCCCGCACCCACCCACCCACAGTCAAGTTTTAGCTAGCTTCGACAAATCATATATGATTGTGAGTAATATACGGTTTTATTTGAGTAACATACGATAACTATATACTTCATAAAACAACGAATAGATAAATACAAGAGTTAATCTACGATGGAATGAAAAATATGAAAAAATCTTTGTGTTATTTTGTTTGGAGTAATTAATACAATTCTGCTCCATCTAGATAATCGCTAAAGCGTGCTCCACCAGTAACTAATACAATGTCACTCGTTAATACAGATGCTGTATGCCAATATCGTCCATCGAACATACGATCGGCTATTGTCCATGTTTCTGTTACAAAGTCATACAATTCAGCAGTATTAGTGAAATCAATTCCATTATATCCACCAGTAACTAAAACATTGCCATTTTTCAAAATAGATGCAGTATGTTTGCCTCGCGGATAGTTCATACTAGCAGTGTTCGTCCATGTTCCAGTTAATGGATCATACAACTCAGCATTAATGAGATAACCATTACTGTAATAATAACCCAGTCCACCAGCAACTAACACTTTTCCGTTTGGTAGTACAGTTGCCGTGTGTTGCCATCGCTCAAAATTCATATTTCCAGTCATTGTCCACATTCCCGTTGATAGATCGTATAACTCAGCACTCTTTAAGAAACTACCACTCTGAACTCCACCAGCAACTAGTACTTGTCCATTTACTAATACTGTCGCCGTATGTACTGCTCGTCTATAATGCATAGCAATAGTACTGAACCAATTTCCTGTTAATAGATCATATAATTCTGCACTATTTAAATCACCTAACGTATTTGCTCCTCCGGTAATTAGTACTGTTCTATTACCGAACAAAGATGCTTCGTGTTGATGTCGTTCAACACTCATATTATTGGCTAACGTCCATGTTCTTGTTAACGGATCATACAATTCAGCACTATTTAACCAGCTATCGTTGTAATATCCACCACTAACGAATACTTTCCCATTCTCCAGTACGGTTGCTGTGAACTGTGTCCTTGCATAATTCATACTGCCAGTAAATGTCCAATTTCCTGTTGCTGGATCATATAATTCAGTACTGCTTGAGTAACTAACATTATTGTTTCCTCCAGCAATAAGCACTTCTCCATTGGGCAACACAGATGCTGTATGTCCAGCACGTGCGTTATTCATGCGACTAGCATTAGACCACCCTAAAAAGAAGTATCATAGTCATTCAGAAAATAATATATCTTCGAATCTCAAAAATGCAGACTGTTCATATGACTGTAAAATATCAACTAAACACACGTTCAAAAGCTGTTAACATAACGCATAACAATGGTCTTATATCTGGCATACAATAGCATAAGCTGATGATCTCCGATTATCTCGAGAATGTATAGTATGAACATTGGTGTGAGTGAATGATGATTATAAATCCAAATTCAATCTTAATCACAGGTCAATACGATATACAACTAAGTCGTATATCATTCATCAACTGATCAATGGAAAATTCCTCTCTGAATTAAATACGGCATTACTTGCTATACAAAATTCGGTGGCAGACGATGGTAAACACACTGCGTGTGGTGAACAACATGAGTTGACAATACAAACAGAACTGTTTCTTGGGTGTGGATATGAGTGTGGGTATGGATGTAGATGGATGTAAACGGGCGAGTGAGAGTGAGTGTAAGCGTGGATGTATATGTATAAAATACTCTTCTTTCACACCAACATCCTCACCTGTACCCACACCACAAAACCTTTCGAGATGATTTATTTCTTCTCCGAATTTTTCATATTCCTTATTTTTTATACTCCCGATTTTAATTTTTCGGATTTTTCCATCTCCAGATTTTTGTTTTTCGGATTACTTGACATATTAGTGTAGACAACTACTAAACATCTAGCATACTACTGACCTCGTGGTGCTGTTGTTGATGAGATTGTTGATGAGGTTGTTGTTGAAGTAGAAGTTGTTGATGAAGTTGATGTTGAAGTTGACGTCGAAGTTGATGTTGTTGTTGTTGTTGTTGTTCTTGACGTTGAAGTTGAGGTTGTTGACGTTGAAGTTGGAGTTGTTGATGAAGTTGAAGTTGAAGATGATGTTGTTGTGGTCAAAATTGAGGCTGTGGATGTCGATGTCGTCGAGGTTGAGGTTGTTGTTGTTGAAGTTGAGATTGTAGAGTTTGATATAGTTTGAGTGGTTGTGTTTATAACAGTATTAGTAGTAGTAGTAAAGAATGTTGATTTGTTATTGGTAAGTGTGGGTACAATTAGTACGAGGAGAAATATAACTACACCGATCACCGCACAAACACCAATCGAAATTTTAAAGCGTTTACTCCTTAAAAAAACAATAAGTGAATTTCTCTTTGAAATCATTCGTTAGTGAGGGAAATATAACACTTACAATCGATTATGTGTTACAGAAACCCAATGATGATCAGAGCTTTTTGATACAGTTTGATGTTGATTACGTGATGGAAGATATATTTCTTCAACGTCATCCATGTTTGATTGAAAAATATTCTAGAAGAATTTATAGATCAGAAATATTTATATATCTTCATTAACTCTTTTATAATCAGTTAAACATAAGAAAAAGGATCAAAAGGCTATGTATATATTTTACGTTGTTTTACATCTTTCATAATTCATATTTGATCATTTATCATTCATGTTTTTCTCCATAGAATTGAGCTGGATAAATAGATAATATTTTTAGTCTAGTTCTTTTTAATTTCTTTCTTAATTAGCTAAAAGAATTTCTATGACAATTGCTTGTCTATTCATAATCTCTTAAGTAACAAAAGTAATATATTATTCAACGAAATTCTTTGAGATTGTTAAGGATAAGAGTCAAACGTATTGCGAAAAACCATACGTTGAGATTGTGGGTGTTAATTTCACTTCAATAAAAATAATAGTCATTCACATTGATATCCTGTGTCTGATATTTCTACAATTTATTGGCATATATCAAGAGATAAATTATCGTTTAACTGAAATACTTAGTGTTTACTATCTAAATAAATATTATTAACCCTTTGGTTACGGTACACCCATATATAGTATTTGAAGTTTTGCAGATATTACTGTCATTACAATATCATTTAGACTCTATCGAAAAGATTACTTTCTATTTTTCTTATCTTGGGAATATCATTACGTCATCGTTGCGTATAACTATGTGCGTATTTATGTGCTATCTTTTGCGTTCTGACACGTTCTTTTGAGGATTACCATACTTTAAAACATTTTTAAATGCTTCCATATGTTAATGAAAGTTATTTCAGACTGTTTTAGAACGAAAAAAAAAGATTCACGTTAAAAAAACCCGTAACCATAGGGTTAAGAGATTATTGTCTTCGCACTCATTCTTGCGCTAAATTCCAAACTCCGCAGGGTATTTAATATGGTGAAGTAGCTTATTTTCTTTTATGTTGACACTAAGGTATAAGAAGATGTGACTGTTTGGCACACCCGTACTATCACTATTAGTCGAAAACTCTACTGAATCGATAACTACTCGAATTCATCTTCGGTTTTTACATCTATATACCGAAAGACAAAAATATAACACTATACTTACTACTTACTACTGAGTTATGAAATGATTTCCTGCTCTTCGCACGAGAGTGACAATATTTTTTTCTGAAAAAGAAAATGTAACAATGACAGCAAAACACATTCCTTTAAATATTGAGATTGCACGAATGATGACGGACAAGGTTTTTCCGGGAAAAAAATGTAACAACACAAACAAAAAACAATTTTGTCGCTAGGTAGAATGCATGAATGATGATAGATAAGTTTTTTTCCGGGAAAGAGTCTGAGGATGAGAATAAATAAGTGTTTCTGCTGGAAGGAGAATGTAGAAATCAGTACAAAAACTTTTTTTCAACAAAACAATATGATTATGATGATGGACAAGGTTTTCCGGGAAAAAAATGTAACAACACAAATAAAAAACAATTTTTTCAGCAAGTAAAATGTAGGAATGAGAATAAGTTGTGTTCGCACAAAATGCCTGCATATTTTGCTCACTTCCTGCAACCAAAAACACAAGGAATTCGTGCAGGAGCCTTACCAAATTCTCAGGAATATAGAGCGGAGATACCGGCGAGGTGTTATAGGAAATACCACTCATTTTTTAGATTGATTAGATTCTGCGCGTCATATACTTTTTGAGATTGTCACTAAAAGCTGGATAGAAAAGAGTTCAATTCGAAGCACAATTCGCTTGATTCATCGTATTACGATGGCTAGGATGTTTATGCAGATTATTTTAACTTGTAAGAAATTAAATACTCGAAATTAGTTCGGACGTTTTTCTATGTTAAATGAGCCACTTTTTTCACGTTTATGTTCGCTCCTTCTTATGATTCTATCATTTTCAGGCAGATCTTGAAAGATTATCATGTTGACTGAAAGAGAGCAGAAAGTAAGTTGGATGATGTCAAAGTGAGAACTATAGTGTGATCAGCAAGTTGTTTCTATATGAAGTGAGCCAGATTTCTTTGGCTGACATGTTTGGCTCACTTCTCAGAATCGAATATTCTTTCTTTGCTATATAATATCACACGGGTGTGAAACTTCGTTTTAAAATATTAGAACATCTCTACAATGTCCTTATTATTTTTCACTGTTTTCTATATTGAAAAACATATATCGCTATGATTGGTTTACTCATCTGCTACTACTACTTTGTCGTCTTCTATCTTGATCACGCACAGCTAGTTCCATTGTCTATGCTCTTTTCCTTTTTTCTAATCATTTGATAGTGATGTGGGTGTGGGATGGCCTTAATACTCACATCCACAGCAATTTAAGCTGATCAAACTATTTGACAAAGAAAGGTGTAGTTGGAAAAAATTGATTTGATTGAACATATTATTGAATTACTCATCTCTGATATTCACTTGAAAATGATTATTCATACGTTATCATCACATGTGAACTCGCCCTCATCCGAATATATGCAGTTGGGAGCATCGAATGATTAATATTCTTCACAACTTGTACTTATATCTACTAGGTTGTAAAAATAATGATCTGTCTTTTACTAACTATGGCTCTTCTTCAACGATCGACATACAATATCACTTTGAAATATTACACCAACTCATATAGTATTTGGTGAATGATAATTTATTAAGAAATGTGAATGATTAAATAGTTTGATGAAGTATAAAATTTTACGATTCAGTTCAAAAAAGAAAATATCATTCTGTGTGTATCGATTAATAAAGCTCAGTACTATTGAGATAACTACCATCTTGAGGATATGGGTGTGGGTATGGGCTGGGTGCAAATGTTTGTCTTCTTCTAATTCATTATCGATGCCGCATCGGCATTTACACCCACGCCCACCCCTCAAGACGAAGATGATGAATCACACTATATATGATATATGGATGTGGGTGCGGGAAAATATAGACGTCATCATAGAAGTATGAAAACTTTTAGTTTGACATTTTAGAATTACTTTGTCTTTATAATAAATTACTTAATAATAAAATCTTTTACAGACTAAATGTAGTTTTTGTGTACTCAAAAAGTGAGTATATTACTAGAATTGATCAGTGTGTTCGGCCAGCCGTTTACACAATACCTTGCGAAAGGAGAGTCAGGTATTGATAAAATTTTATACACAATTTGGACTCATAAAGATCTCGATCGAGTTCGAAGTTGAGCCTGATTGGACGAGCCATTCCCGAGTTATTACAAAAATACTGATATTTTACTATGAGTTCCATATACACTTTTTGCAGTACACATAACTCTCGGATACAATCCGAAGTTTCCACATTTATTTACTATGATTTTAATTTATTAACTTAGCGAAAAAATAATTTAGTAAAATATTAATATTTTAACTTAGCAATTCGTTTTCTTTACTGAGAAACTTTAAATTTACTTAGCGTCTAATTATTCTACTTAGATTTAAGTTATTTACTAAGCAAATGTAAATTCTACTTATCAAATAAATAGTACCCAATTAAAGTTAAGTTTTAGAAATGATATCAATACGTGCATACTCTTCTCTCTTTATCTATATTTGTATATCAGTTAATTGAGCGCTATATATATACTTTCTATTAATACACTAACTATCGATTATTTTACATGACGAATATCACAATCATTTGGATATAGCACTCTCAATGTATAATCAACATTCATTTTTTAATACACCATACGATATGACAAATAGAAATACCTGTTATATAGGGTGCGGGTGTGGGTCTCTTCTCTTTACACTCACCCACATCGTCAAAACACTCGACGGATTACAAGAGCAAAAGTCATATATATGTTAGGTTATCCACATCACACAATAAACCATTTGAATTAATGTGCAGAAAGACACTTATTTTGAGGAAACAATTAAAATTTAAAAAGATGATTTATTCTTCAAACGAATAAGATATAACTGTTCGACATTTTGAAAACAAATTTAGTTCTTGACTTGAATAACCCAAAGATGGATAATATCTGTAAAAAGAGTGAGACTGGATTCAATCGAGGAGAAGAGCTTCAGGTACATTCGGGAAGAACACATAAATTATGTTGAAGGATATATGCTCTAACGATTTGCATACTCTCAATCAGAAGTCCAAAAGACTTCGAGAGACATCGATGAGTTTACTTATTCATTTTCAGGACCATTTGTGGGAACTATGCATTTTCTTAACGAGAAATGTATAATTCTCAAGAAGAATGGAAATGTCCCAAACAGATATAATGATATTTTTTCTTTCTCAAAGTGAAGACTGTTTGTAACAGAAATGAACTATTTATATTTATATTATTTGTTTCATTTTCTGTTGGTAGCATGAGACAGCGTGAGAAGTTTAATTAGTTATTTTTAATCCATTTCTTTTCACCATATATGACTTTCTATAGAGTCAACAATTTCCTTATCCATTATTGTGTTCTCTTATTCTTTCACTTACTGATGGTGATAAGTCGATTAACTGTTCTAATGTCTTTCGTTGTGACAGTGTATTTTTTTGTGAACGTTTTTCTCCTGCCTTAACTCAAATTAAGCGTTGAGTGAGTTTTACTGAAAAAATATAGTTTTGAATTATTTTTGCTTTTAATACATCGTACCATCCACTAAGTATGTTTGACTAATGTGTTGACCGACTTTTATTGATGAAACAGACTTCTGATTATTATTTTGTTTTCACACTCTATGTCATGGTTTGAGGATAAGTCGATTCATCTTTTCAGTAGCTTTTTCAATTAACAAGCACTTCTGTCATTTTCTTCTTTGAAATAATCTGATTTATGTCGTTAGGATTACTCTTATTAATGAAATGCACTACTAAATGTTTGTCATGTTTGTTAACTGCACTTAATTAATCAAAACTGTAGGTAAAACACTGCGTACAACTTCTATTTTGAAATTCTCAACTTTCACAAGAATATCTATTTTATCCGAATAATTTCTGTGTATACGGTATACTTCTTTCGTCTTCCTCTTATTGACAAGTGTTATTATCGGATTATAAACCCTCGATCGATTCTTTAACTAATTTTTCTTATCTAAATATAGATCTAATCACAACAGTTTATATAATAATATAAATACTCCAAGAAATTTCACCATAAATTTAAAAAATAAAATATAAAGAAAGAAAATGTTAAATATCCGTCACCTTGAGATCGATCTTGCATTCTATCTAATAAAGTATATTTATATCGACAAATATTAATAATGTGTGTCTCTCTCCATAAAGATAATATATTATCTAAAGCTAGAGGTTTATGGTAAGATGCAAGAGTTACTTTTTTCTCTAGTATACCAAACCGATCAGTATTCCTATCATATATGTTCAAATCTACGTTATTGTGTTTGTTTATCAAGATTTTGTCATTGTTGTACTTCTATTTTTATTTTATAATCAATTTCCTTCTGTTCTTTTTTTGTCTCATCTAATTTTTCTCCTGCAGTATGAGATTAAGACTTACGACAGATAATTACATTTTGAAATGTGCAGCAGTTTACTAAATAGCTCTTCTTTTTCTATGCTCATGAGTATGAAATTCCCCTTACATTATTTTCTCGGCACAGATAACGATGTTCTCAAAACAAGCCATGTGATATCATTTGTATTATATTCACTATTATCTTTAATGATCGATTTTTCAGCATATTTGCTTTGATACGGACTTTTTCTGGCGTAAGAATCGTGATCATTAAATGAATATTTTTATTTTTTTATATTTTGACAAAAAAACGCTTTAACTCGAATAAGAAAGACAAATTCATGATATACTGAATTCGATTTATAACATAAATGCACTTTGACAAGTTTTTGGTGGTTTAGAAAATAAATATATACACGTAATACCTTATATCATTTATTATAAACGCAATAAATAACGTCTTTGCTGGAGGTTAGCAACATATTAAAAGCTATTTTTAACTTATCATTTCTTAGAAACGCGATGAATGACGTCTTTGCTGGAAGTTAGCAACATATTGAAATTGTTTTTTAACTTAACATTCTTTATAAATGCGATAAAGAACGTCTTTACTGGAGGTTAGTAATATATTAAAAGTTGTTTTTTTAATTTATCATTTTCTATAAATGCGATGGATGTCGACTAGATATGGCTCTTTATTTTTTATTTTGTCGACGCTTTATAGACTGTGGAGAGTCTTGTGAGTATTACACATACAGTCAAGACAGTTATAAGCATAAAAGAGAAAATTCTTCGTAACTTTAAAATTTGCAGCTAAAGTTAAAGTGGCATGTCTAGTGTCCATAGCTTACATTGATATGAGAAACATGCAGGAAAATTGTTTCTAAGTATCATGACTGACTTTAACAAAATTCTACTGCTTATGATTCAAATTTTCAAGATATATTAAGTGAGAAGATATGTATCTGTAGTAGAAATATACGATCAAACGACACTAGTATGACGTGTTAAACGAAAAAGTAAGTGTGTCGTTTGTTTTTCGCTAAGGAAATAAATATACTGTTTTTTCATGGCTCGTGAAAGATTATACTTGTTTGTGTCACTAGTGAAAATATCAGTTCATTCAGTCAGAGTCTGGGAGAGAAACTCAATTTTTTATTTGTCTAGTGATTTACTGGACACCGTATATAATGATTATTCAGTAAAATTTTGTTTTTTTGTCATTTATTGTCAGAAGAAACCAAGTGGCAACTATGCGTAGCCGTAATGTACGACAATCAATGCGGATTTAAGAGCTAAAAAGATACAGAAAATATCATTGGTGATGGCTTGAAAGTCAAAATGCTCGAATGTCTACATGACATATAATGGTGACAGGGCTGTAGAAAATATCTGAGACATCGATTTTGTTAAAGGTATCAAATTTGTGTTAGAAAATGAAAAGGATCTTTAACAGAGTTCGATTAGTGTAACGAAAATATAGGACTAATCGAATCGTTTATATTATAAATCCATTTACTTAACTACTCGAAAAACTAGAAAATGAAATGTCATAGATTTGGAAAATTGGAGAGGATGACACAAATAAATATTCTAACTTTATATCTTGTACATTATGCTTAAAGAGCAAATTTGGTTGACTAAGTCATTAATTCATTTTCTATCTTCTCTTTTCAGATACTATCAAGCCTACATAATAGTTTCAATGACAATCTCTTATATTATTCAGTTTTGGCTCGATCAAGTTTTTCAAATTCCATCTATTCTATTCGCTATCTTTACTCTCTATTACTTACTCATAGATCGAGCACTTCGAAATGCACTTAACAATCATGTAATTATTGTTATGGTCTTTGTTGGTCTCATCTTGCAATGTTTCGATATCACGGCGCTCGCTTACTACTTGCGTACTGGCACTGTATTAGTATCCACAAGAAGCTTTTGTCTTGCCTGGACGTTCATTCGTTCCATTTTGATTACAGGAACACTAAATCTGGTCGCTTGGGCGTCGATTGAACGCCATATTCTTATCTTTCATCCAAATTTGATTCGTACAAAAACAAAGCGATTTTTTCTTCATTATCTCCCATTGATTATATGCTTGATGTATCCTGGCGTATTTTTTTTTGCTATATACTTCATTGTACCTTGTCCTATTACAATGAATTACAATTTAGTAGGTTGTGGTTATTATTCCTGTCCCCTTATACACCCGTCAGTTGGATTGTATAATATTGTGGTGAATTACTTGATTTCTCCAGTTATCATTGTAACATTCAGTGCAGCTCTTATTATACGTGTGGTAGCTAGCAAATACCGCGCTCGTCAACGAATTCAATGGCGTAATTACAGAAAAATGGCCATTCAATTATTATCAATAACTTTTCCCTATATCTTTCTATATTGTCCACCACAATTCTTATATCTAGCTTATATAGCCGGTTTATCACGAGATATAGGTGCTGGTTACTATACTGTTGCCACCACTATTAATTTCTATGCTCTAACGTTCACTCCTATTATATGTGCTCTCTCATTGCCTGAACTTCGAACGAAATTTAAAATATGTTTTCCATTTTGCCGTAGATGTCGTGCTGCTGTTGGTCCACAAGCATTGATGATGACTCGTACAAAAGCAGGCCCAACAGCTAGTCCAGCAGCTGACCCAACAGCTCGCCCAACAGCTGCAATAGCAACAATTGCTCAATAATTCCTCTAAAACTACCATAATTAACAAATATAAGAGCGTGATCCAATCTAAAAATATTAACAGACACTACTTTTCATTGGAAAAGGATTTCATATTGTAGTTCCCCATACCTACTTTGTTGTTGTCATTGTATTTTTTCGTTCATTCATCGTTTATCATTCTATCTTCTCTATTAATCATGCATTTCTTTTTACTGAACATCATTTGATTTAATTTATGTTGTGTAATTATTTATATTTTGTGTTTTATTTTAATTATTATTATCTCGTTTGTCTATGTGTCAAATAAAATAGGTTCGATGTATCCTAGTAGATGATTATTATTATAACTATAAAAAAAATAACGACTGATTGCGTAAAAAAAGTAGGCTTAGTTGTGAACGAAGAAGGATATAGATACAGGTGTAGATGCGGGTCTTTGAGAAACCAGTCCGATAGCTACACTCATACTCATCCTCTCTTATCTTCGTCATTTAATGAAAAATGATATTATACGTACATCTGAAAGTGTAAAGTTAGTAGATCCAAGCCACAAAATTGTGCAGAGACTCGTCCATATAACAGATGTTAATGATAGGTTTTTTTCACCCGACCTTGTAGAAATTCAACTCGGTCTATTTTACGTGATAAATGAGTTTTCTTTCGAACCGTAGATTACGCCAAGCATTGACTGTTCGCTAAACAGTAGTGGGTTACTTACATGTAGCCCATAGCTTAATATAAATATGGGTGTGGGTGAGTTTGGGTCTGGGTCTGGTTATTACTAGCACTCATCTCATCCACACCCACACCCTCAGACCCGATTGATTTTGTAAGATTTATGCAAGTTTCATAATAATGAAAATAATAATTATGTTGTTGTATTGATAATCTAGAACTAAATTCAAATTTATTTTCATCGATAATCAAAGATATTATTAATGTATGATAACTGTCTAATATTGTATCTTCTACCTAAATGATCATAACTGCGCCATTTATAAAGATAAAATATTCTTATGATGATTTTCATTATCTTTTTTATGTATTCTTGTGACAAAACATGTTATCTATTCAATTATATTAATATAAGATGTGTAGTTCACCGATAATGAACATTAGTTTATCAATAGCTGATTTTTGAATTGGTTTCTATGTAAAAAATGCTCTTCTTCAACCAATTGTAACATGTCTTTCTATCACAACTAAAATATCGTCATTTTACTATAGAACGAAATTTTTTTTTTAATTTTTAGTAAGAGTGTTTTCAAGTCCCATTCATCAACTTTTGATCGATCGATACGGAATAAAGATATTTAGTTGAATGACGTGTTGGTCTAAAGAAAGAGTAAATTCATAATATAATTGTTAGAGAGACTAATCTAAGAAGACATTAAACCTCTACCGAATCATCAACAAATTGTTAGAACGCTAAAAATAAGTCGTATATAATTTGAGTAGAAAGAAGTTAGAATTTGGATTTTTCCGGCTATCTCGCAACTCTAATTATGTGTGAAAACATGCATCTTTAGACATACGAATAGATTATCTTATTCCAAAACTAATCTACTCTTGATCTGACTATATTTCTGTTAGAATGAAATCAGATTTGGCGTATGATTAATTTACATTCGAAATACTTTTCACCGAGTTCCTAGCAAACATATGCATCAGGTAAAAATCATGCGACTCTCGTCACTTTATTATGATACTAACGTTCAATCCAACTGTCTCCAGGAGAAATTCTATATCAACTCACATGTGCTTAGTTAATATTAAGTTGATATGTTCATCTCAACACAGCATCGCACTTCAAATCTGTAGATTTTATTCTAACATATCATATATTCAACCGGCCTTTTCTTCTCGCTTTGTTTCTTTCTAGCGACACTTTCTAATCGCTGTTAATTAATTTAGTTAATAAATAGGATATCATTCTAAACAACGAGATACAATCATATATAATACCGTAACACATTATAATTTTCAATCAACTATCATAATAAAAAATATATCACCTAAAAACTGATACATGTCCATAAAAAATCGATCCTACTTATATCATTACAATACAAATCATACATAAAATAAACCTGTTTTATTTATATTTTATTACGATGACACCCGAAAAAGACAGTTATACAGATATTCATTAATATTTCTCTACCAATGCTCAGCGTACCGTCGATATGAACAGTTCATATTTTGCCAATCGCATGTTCAATTGAATCAATTCATTGATTTCCTTCTTGAGTTCGTATGCGATCCGATTGTCGTCGATATGTAGTACGGCAAGCGTCTTTATAAAAAAGTATAGATGGATATATAAACTAGATAAGCAATAAAATGATAGTTACCGTATTATTTTGTAATGCATCCAGCAGATCCTGTGCACCATCATCATCGATTCCATTGTTGCCGATAAGTAATGTGGTAAGAGTCTGCATAAAAAAGTGCAGATGAATATATGAGATAGATCACGAAGCGAATGATAGTTACTGTATTAGTTCGTAATGCATTCGCCAGATACTGTGTTCCAACAGCTCCGATATCATCTGAATACAAATTTAATGTAGTAAGTGTCTGTATAAAAAAGTACATATGAATATATGAGATAAATCACGGAGATAATGATAGTTACTGTATTAGTTCGTAATGCATCAGCTAGATGCTGTGCTCCAACAGCTCCGATTCGATTGTTACGGAGATTTAATACGGTAAGCGTCTGTATAAAAAAGTGTAGATGAATATAGGAGATAGATGAGTGGTAGAAAGATAGTTACCGTATTAGTTCGTAATGCATCCGCCAGATGCTGTGCACCAACAGCTCCGATTTGATTTTGCTCGAGATCTAATGTGGTAAGTGTCTGAATAAAAAAGTGCACATGAATATATGAAATAGATCATGAACAGAATAATAGCTACCATATTAGTTCGTAATGCATCTGTTAGATATTGTGTTCCAATATCTGTGGTTTGATTGTAACCAAGATTCAATGTAGTAACTGTCTGTATAGAAACGTGCACATGAATATATGAACTAGATCACGAAGAGAATGATAGTTACTGTATTAGTTTGTAATGCATCTGCTAGATGCTGTGCTCCAATGTCTCCTATTTGATTATTGTTAAGATCTAATGTGGTAAGCGTCTGTATACAACAGTGTAGATGAATATAGGAGATAGATGAGTAGCAGAATGATAGTTACCGTATTATTTCGTAATGCATCAGCCAGATGCTGTGCTCCAAGAGCTTCGATTCGATTCTGGCGGAGATATAATGCGTTAAGCGTCTGTATAAAAAAATTGCAGATGCATATATGAGATAGATGAGTTACAGAATGGTAGTTACCGTATTATTTTGTAATGCATCTGCCAAATGCTGTGCACTAATAGCTTCGATTCTATTGAGGCCGAGATCTAATGTGGTAAGTGTCTGTATAAAAAAGTGCACATGAATATATGAAATAGATCATGAACAGAATGATAGTTACCATATTAGTTCGTAATGCATCTGCTAGATGTTGTGCTCCAACAGTTTCAATTTGATTGTTGGAGAGCTTCAACTCGCTAAGTGTCTTTGTGAATAAATGTAAATTGATATATGAGATAGATGAGTAACACAATGACAGTTACCGTATTATTTTCTAATGCATCTGCCAGATGTTGTGCGCCAATAGCTCCGATTTGATTGTAAGTGAGATCTAATACGGTAAGGGTCTGTATAAAAAAATTGCAGATGAATATATGAGATAGATGAGGAACAGAATGATGGTTACCATATTCTTTCGTAACGCATCCGCCAGATGCTGTGCACCAATATCTCCGATACTATCCGAGCAGAGATTTAATGTGGTAAGTGTCTGTATACAACAGTGCAGATGAGTATATGAGATAGATGAGTAGCAGAATGGTAGTTACCGTATTATTTTGTAATGCATCAGCCAGTTGCTGTGCTCCAAAAGCTCCAAGTTGATTGTAGGAGAGATTTAGTTTGAAAAGTGCCTTTGTGAAAAAGTGTAAATAGATGTATGAGATAGATGAGTGACAGAATGATAGTTACCGTATTATTTTGTAATGCATCCGCCAGATGTTGTGCACCAATAGCTCCGATTTGATTGGGTCCGAGATCCAATGTGGTAAGCGTCTGTATAAACAAGTGTAGATGGATGAGTAACATAATGATAGTTACCGTATTATTATGTAATGCATTCGCAAGATGTTGTGCTCCAATATCTGCGATTTGATTCCACTCAAGATTTAATGTAGTAAGTGTCTGTATAAAAAGGTGCAGATGAATATATGAAATAGATCATGAGGAGAATGGTAGTTACGGTATTATTTCGTAATGCATCTGCTAGATGCTGTGCTCCAACGGCTCCAATTTCATTGCGGTAAAGATTCAATTCGGTAAGCGTCTATATAAAACAGTGCAGATGGATATAGGAGATAGATCACGAAGAGAATGATAGTTACCGCATTATTTTGTAAAGCATCTGCTAAATGTTGTGCACCAACCGCGCCGATTTTATTGAAGCCGAGGTTTAATATGGTAAGTGTCTTTGTAAAATAGTGTTGATGGATATATATGATAGATGAGTAGCAGAATTATAGTTACCCTATTAGTTTGTAATGCATCGACAAGATGATGTGTTCCGATATCTCCGATATTATTCGCATAGAGGTTTAATATGGTAAGCGTCTGTATAAAAAATGTGCACATGGATATAAGAAATAGATGAGTAAGAGAATGATATTTACCGTATTATTTTTTAATGCATTCGCTAAATACTGTGCTTCAAGGCCTTCGACGCCATCGTCCCTAATATCGAATGTAATAAGTGCCTAAATAGAATAGTATGAATGAGGAGTTATTTGATTACTTTATGAGACTTTAGTGAAATGTTGCGAAGAAAGGTAAAGATGTGAGAGTGTGGTTTGTTGTTTTTTTCGCAAAACTCCACCTCAGGGAACCGAATTAGATGAGAGTCTCTACTAGCTTGTTATACGTCAACGAACTGTTCTGTATTGTTTTTGAAAAGTATAAGAACAGCAGTTAGAATTAGCGAGATTCCGGTGCGATCCTGAAATTGAACAACTAAGAAAATGGAAAGAGTTCTAGAATCAGTAAGAAGTAGAATGGCCACGGGTTTGTCACAAAATCAAATGAGTTTTAGAAAATATAGGACTTCTTAGAAATCAAAAATTCAGTTGTCTTCACATTGTTTAATGTGTTTATTGCTTCCCCAAATCGATCATTTTGATGGTCGATTTCTATAGGATACGATCCATGTCTTAGCAGTATCAAATAGTATTATAAAATCCACATCTAGTGCTGATGGAATGAAATGTGATTTCGTCCCACAGTTTCAGATCTTATAGAGTCCAATTAGATCTATTATAAGTTTTATAAACCTGCGCTCAGCATCTTCTCACTCTTATCCACTCTATAATTTTATCAGTATCTTTTGAATGTCTTCAGTTTCTTGTTTTTCATGGTGGTACAAGTCTACTGTTCATATCTGTGTAATATTTCGGCTATAATTTAATACTAGATCTCTTCCGACTGCAAGACCCATCAGAGTATGAGTGATTGACTTATTTTACCTAAAATTCTTGTAAAACCTTCTGTCTCTGTCAAAAAGTCTAGATGCACATGTCACAGTAATTTCTTCTTTTCTCTCTCTTTTAAATATTACACGTGGGTAAATAAAAATAGTATGAGAGCAGTGAATTGTTTAGAAAAGAACGAGAAAAAAAGAGTTGCTTTTATGTATGTCTCATCATTAATTTATTCGGTAATATCTTCTCAGACCTATGGACTGTAAGAATAAGAAATAATTCGAAGATAGACAATCATAATTAAAAAAGGTTTACCTGGTATCGGTAGTAGCTATCAACGATTGTATTAAATCTTTGACAGACATTTCGCATTGAGCACAGCATTGTCAGGTCACTTTGATGATCCAAAATTCGGTAGACAATTTCTACCGGTAATATAAGAAAATTAAGTGGCATTTGATTCAAATTGTTGAGACGGTTTTGCGTGGCGTTTTATGTTGGTATAATGAAGTGTATTGTTGCTTTGTTTCTTTCGTCTTATACGAGTTTATATTCGTGATATGTTATCAATTTCTCATAGTGATGAAATTACTTGTTTAAAAAAAGATAATGCAAAAGAATGATGATGATAAAGACTTCGCTGAGATAAGAAATAGAACTTATTTATTTAAAGGTATGCGTCTAAGTGAAGAAAAGATGAATCTAAACGCACATTCTCAAATTAAGATTAACCCTTATATCGTTACATAAAAAGTACTCTGTTGAAATTCAAAATTATTAGTATAGATAATCTTCAACAAGCAAATCATCTTCTAGTATTACAGTTATTTTAGAATGCACTGACGCGTATATGATCGATTGATAATAGATTCCTATACATTAGGCAATGAATTTATATCTATAATTACTTTTCTCTAGTCATATATGATTTATTTTATTAATAAAATATGAAATCTTCGAAGTGCGAACAAAGAAAATAACAATAATTAAATTTCTATTGTAGATGGTAATAAATAACATAAGACTCTATATAGATTGTCGACATTCATTTTTCATGCTGAGAGAAATTTCAATCATCTGTTTTGTTAAACAATTCATATAAAACTTTCACTCAGTCGAAATAATGTTAAATCAAAAATTGTTATCGACTGAAGATTTATCTAAACGCAACTTGCAGTCTCATGCACTTGTATCTGTATCAAGAGTAGCCACTCCTGCTCGCCTCAATTATCACCAGCCGGTTCCACATGAACAGAAATCATCAACAAGTGGTAAATCTCGTATAATAATTCATAGAACTATTCGATCATCCGATAGTACGAGTCGTTCAATACAAAACAAAGCCATCAATTCCAATGTCGATGCATATTCAGTTAGATATTTTGTTGTTTTATTTTTAATCGATATGTATTATTATATTTAAATAGATTTCCACTATTCTACCAGCTCGTGATCGTCAAAATACAGTAAATCATTCTGATGTTAATATTAATTCAACTGAACACGTACAGAATGTCTCACCATCGGTTAGTATTAATAAAGTCTTGTATAGATATCAATTACTGTTATATATAGTTATCGTATAATGGTTGGTATGACAATAACGGAAGCAACAGTTCAATGGAGCTAGATGACTTTTCAGAGCAAGACAGATGTTCTTCGATTAATAAACATAGCTGTAGTCCTGAAAGCATATTAGAAAAAGAAATATCCTCGTTGGCTACGAAAGAAGTAAGTTATTGTCTATTTTGTTGTTAACTAAACTAGTTTGATCATTATATTTACTTACTTTCAGAATTCTATTGATAATAACAATAATGCAAATTTAATGCGAAATACTAATAAAAATATGGTAAGATATATTCTTCTATATACTCTCGAGTTTACTTAAAGAAATTAAATAATAAGAACACCCACGATCGCTTCTCAAACACAAACAGCTTTCATAAGGATTCAAGAAATAATGAAAAAAAGAAGAAGAAAAAAAAGAAAAAGTAAATTCTAATTTGTTTAATATAGTCTTTGTAACTTTGTACAATGTAGATGTGCGTGGGCTTTATGTTGTCCATGTTTACTTCTATCTTTACTTACTGCTATTCTATTAAGTACAGTTATTGCTGCAGTGCTTGCAGGCATTTTCATTAAATCAAAGACAACAACATCGACATCTACAAGTGGTAAAAGAAGAAAGAAAGAATTTCAAATTTGTTTCTCTTTTCTTATGTTGATTAAGATGTCACGACGACAACGATCAGTACTACTCTCACGACAACCACTGAAACAAGTAAATATTCCTGTTAATATTTCTATTTTATCACATTTTTCTTTTGATAAAGCTACAACATCTACTGCATGTACTACACCAGCCAGTACTGCTCTTTCTTATAATGCTACTACTAGCGTTTACACGTTGACAACATACAATTATACAGCTTCGTACACAGGTTTTGCTGTGCTTGAATTTGGCTTTAGAGGACAAACCGGAAATGACTATTGGTATCTAGACGATGTTAGTCTTGTGGACACTAATACATTCAATTCAGAAATGTTAGTTAATGGTAATTTTGAGAACGGTACTACAGACGGATGGCAACTGTTATGTAGTTCGAATTGTCAATCAGCAGCAGGAGCCATTGCATATAATACATCATGTTATACAGGTTTATTTTGCTATACAGATGGCTGCAAAAGTGGATTTGATTTTCTACGACAAGCATTTAGTATGAAGATTGGACATGTCTATACACTCAGTTTTTGGATAAGAACCGATACAAAACCCCAACAATATGGATTTGTTAGATTTTTTTAAATGAAAATGAACTTCTGTAATGTCTTAAATAAACTATCAGCATACTCGGACATATATGATGTGTTGAATTTATTTTCAAGTGCCATTAAGAATATTCAATCAATGACTTTTATGCTTTATAGTATGAAGCAGAAAGATTAGATCGAGAACAGATATTTTTCGGAGATTGAAGACAAGAGCAATATTCCATGTGGTCAATCAGTGAAGAGTGTAGGTGTGTCTTGTTTCCTCGCACATATACTCGCCCACACTCTCGTATACCAATATTTTGTGTTACTGCTAAGAATATCAAATTGCAAAATATATCAAAAATTTCAATCATCCAATGTACTGATGATCTATTTAACATGAGAAATTTTCTTATTCGCTTATTTAGAATTATTAATGAGAAGAGTGAAAAAACTCAGCCAAACATTATTTAACATAAGCATATCTTTGGAGCAAATTCATCTTCTTGCAAACAGAAAATAGTGTGAAGAATAGATTATCTTCACTCTATACCATATCAGAAACAGATATGTCCAACGCGGCACGATAGCGATAGTTTATGTGGGTGGATGGAGATGCTGGTGTCTGTTCGTCAGCCATATCGAAACTCACATCCACACCCTCAAGGTGAATTTGATTGTTCCGCCAATAAAAAGAAGGTAATCATATGCGATGACAAATTCGTCCCTTTTGATTCTGTGCTATAAATTGTATTCATATATACAGTGGAAAACTTTGTCTTTAATACAGTTATGTGGTAAGAGGAAAAACAGGATAATGTGGGAAAGAGACATAACGCACCAACTTTTTTTTACGGTTTCCCTGAGAAGATGTTCGTCACGACTTCCCGACATATAAAAACATACAAAATTTTCAGAATGACAGAGATTTAAAACAAGCAGGGTGTTAGAGCTGGTGTAGGTGTGAGTGTATATGTCATTCTTCTCTCATAGTACACATCCACAGCCATACCGTCACCCGATTTCTTGAAAATATTTTACATACTGTTCAGCATTTCATTTTGATTTACATGTATTTTTTTAAGCTATGGTCCCCCTGACCAACATGTTTTACGGACTCCCGGTAAAAATGGTAAAAAAAAGTCGAATCCGAACACCAAGACAAATTACCAGATGTTCGGGACACCTAGTGCGTTTTGTCTTTGTCCCGATAATGTAGAGGTCTATGTGCGAGACAAACCATAGTGTAGAACGTATTCGAGGGCGGTTTTGTCGAATAGTTCACGAGATTCATTGTACTGCTGTGTAACTGATAAAGAAATAGCAGCGTCAAGTGAAGGATGGTCAATTGTGTGCACTATTGCTTTAATAACATCAATAAGAGAGGTCGTTACAGACCAGCTTTCAACTCTATTTAGCAATGGATGACACATGTGCCCCGATTTGTCCACATTTATATGGTATATTGGCGTTAGAAAACGAACTGTTGGTGGCTTAAATGGAAATTCAATGGGCAAAGTCATTTGAATTCTAAACGCACGCAGGCAGTATGGCTCTGTGGTTGGTAGAATGCGCCCAACAATGACACCTGAATCCAAGTGAGGGCTAGACATGGATACGGTATAATGGACGGTTCCATTTTCATCTTCATCTGAATCTGCATGGATTGGACTCTTTTCAAGAATAAAAAGATTATCAACGCCTTGTTTCAGTTGCATTATCTGTAGGTAGAAGTTTTTTGAGATGCATCTCATAAAACTACCCATTTCTGCATGATGTGTAACGGAGGAAGATAAATTGGGATCTCGAGATAGATTTTCTTCTAAAGTGAAAGATAATTATGTTAGTTGTAACGGAAGATAAGTGAAATAAAAGTTATAGTACCTTTTTTCAGTTTTTCATTCCCCTTTATCATGTGAGAAACGCTGAGCACGTCAGACGATTGAGTTTTTAATTCGAAAGAAGCAACACTATTGACTAGATCCTCTATACCACATTCTTTAAGGTTGAGATCGTTTTTTGCTGTAAAAATCAATGTATCAAAGGCTGAATCTGCTTCTGTATCCATCGAATTTCCAAGATAGGTGCTTCTCATTTTTCGTTCGATTTGTTCTTCTGCATCGCCTCTAAGTAGTGTAAATTCTTGAACGCTATCCTGCAAACCTAAGATATTAGACAAGATGTACGAAAAGTAGTATAAAATGTACCTTCTGTTCTGAGTGAATCACTCGAAAAACCATTCCAATCGACAGTAGAACTTCATTGTCATCCGTCACCTTGCTTATCTGTCGAATAAATGCGAACGGCTTCGACTCATTTCGCTGCTTGTCGATTTTCATTTTTAAGACAGCCGGAATGATACCAGGATCGGAGCCATCCACTCCAGAATACATACGAGCAACAGCAAAATCAGTTGTAGTGGACAAAAAAGATTTGGTTACAACAAGATCGCCAATACCACTTTGCAACTTTTTAAACTCAGATGTGGTCATTGGTCGTCCTCGATACACATATAATTGGTTCGGAAATAGATCGAAATATAAGCTATGAAGACTTTTCAATTCAGCATAGAGATCAGCCATAAAATAAACGAGTTTGAACATGTCTTTCATGTTTCCCATTCGACATGCTCGATTTAATATACGGTGAAGAGAGGAAGATCCGCTTGTGTACAATGGAATAGCTTTGGACGGACTCGATAAAGGATATTCTTCGTCTAGATTTTCGAAAAATTTTATTTGCTGGGAATTATCTTTATATACTTCTTTGCCAAACGAAACAAATTGATCCTTGATACCTATTGTCCTTGGATGATGAAGAAGAATTTCGAGTAACAGTTGATAAAAGATAAATACTCGAGCGTCATCTTTAAATTCTTCACTAGAATTCAAAGGTTGGTCTCCAAGAGAAGCAAAATCTGTGTCATCGTCTTCTTCAGATAAACGGCTGTTACAGCTCACTCTACTAATTAGTTCTGCAATGCTTGTCACTTCAACCAGTCGAGAATGCTCTGGTTTGAATATTGCTTCCCAACCAAATGCATAGATGAATTCTATATGAGACAAACTATGGAATGATTTCACTTGTTCGTCACTAATCTGATACGAAAGTACCAAGAAAACTTTTTTCTCCGTGTTATTTCGCAAATGGTCCAAACAGTTTTCGACATTACTGAACCTTTGGACTTTCTGAATGTCGGTTAGAAGTCCCAAACGTACGTCCAACGGACTGCATCGACCATCAAGAGCAGGTTCGAGCCAAATCAAAAGGTATTCGTCGAGGCATGCTTGCGCTTTCTTCATTTGTTTAGAACCAATACCCATAACATATGTAGTTCTTTCGTGTGAAGCCATTCTGATCGAATTAATGTTCTGAAAGGTAAACACATGTCATAAACTACAGTTTCGATTGCGACGGATATTATCACTCATCTAACGCTCTAGTCTAGCCAGCCAAGTAACGAAAAGTACGGCGTTTGTACGCGTTAAAAAGGATAAATTTTTTGCAGGAGAAGCCAAACTTATAACAGCAAATGCTATCTAAAGCCTTTTCTTTGAAAAAAACTTTTAATGCGTAAAAATGTGCACTTCTTACACGCAAAAACGTTCTATTTTTCATTACTTGGCTGCTCGGAAGACAACTATAAAAGCTATATGTCAGTCTATCAGAGTTAAACAGGTAGAAATATATCTGCCTTATTATTAAAGCCATCGACGCATTAGAAGCTCAGAGGAGGGTATCCTGTTATGAGCGTTTTAGTGTGGATGAAGAGGAGGCGGTTATTCGCATCCACATCGATTCGCACCCACACTCACATCTTTACCTGATGAATTCTTCTTGACTCGAAAATTTCCGGACATTTTACTATACATAACAATAGATAAAATTTCTTTCGTTAGGGCAACCCTAATACTTAATAGTAGTGCTTACTTACATTACCATAATGAAAAGGGTGCGGTGTGGGTGCGGGTCTGGTAGACTAAAGCTAATCACCCGCAGCTACCCTAAAGATTTAACTCACTTTGAAATTCAGTGTAAAAATTTTCTTCATATGACTTTCAACTATATATCTTCTCATTTGATTAAAATCCATTTGAAATTTAAACTGTAAAAAAGTAATCTCTTCATATGACTTTCAGCCATATGTCTTCTCCTTTGATATAAATTTGAATCTAAAAGAATTCGAAATTCAAACTACACAAAAAAATCTGTTTGTATGACCTTACGTCTGTATGTTTTGTGCTTTGATCTAAATTCTGATTTAGATTAATTTCAAAATTTTGATTAAAAAAAATCTTTTCATACGACCTGACATCTTTATGTCTTCCCTTGAATTTAAATTCCGATTTAGATCAATTTAAAGTTTTGATTAAAAAAGTCTCTTCGTTTGACCTTACATTTGTATGTCTTATCCTTGAGTTTAAATTTCGAATTAAATGGCTTCGAAATTCAGACTATACAAAAAATCTCTTCATAGGGTATGAGTGCGGGCGTGAGTATGAACAGAGTATGATATACGCACCTACCCATCCACACCCTGTCCTTGAAGGGTTAGTGACTAAATGTATGAAAAAGTAAAGCATATTTTTCTAGGACTAGTATTTTTTTAATCATCAAACTTATTATTAACCAAAATAACAATAACAAATAGAAAGAAATATATTCTTCAGAGTACATGAAAAAGATGACAAAATCATTGTATTGTTCACATTATTTTTAAGATCACATAAGAAAAATATTTTCGATCGATTTTTACAATGTTCATAATTAAATAATTTAGTTTGTGTTATTTATGACCATATTGATCACTGCTGAACTTGGTTCATAATCTGGTACAATATTTTAAATCCAAATGCCGATATTGATATACTTAATATTGTAATTTAACCCATATAACTAGCTGAAACCATTTTTATTATATTCTACAATTTGAAGATAATTTAAAATTCAGTTTAAAAGTATTCAATATGAAACTACACAAGAGAGTATGGGTGTTAATGTAGATATTATAATCATCTCTCACTCACCCATAACCTCAACGAAAAGAAAAAGAAAAAGTTAAGTGCAGTTGACGATAGACAAAGAATCATCAACGCTTTTCTGCCGTACATTAGTTTGAATTCTTGATTTAAATAAACACATCTGTTGAATTATACTGTTATTTGTATTTTAAAAATATGTTAATTTTAGGGTTATACAGTCTATAGTTGTATGTAATCAATAAAAATTGCATATGTTTAATAATATCTTGATGTTATTCAACGGTAAACAAAGAAAAAGAATCGTTGAGTCTAATGATTCCTTATCATTGTTGTGCGACTTCACATATTTCAAAAGAGAAAAGCAATAAGATAACAATACAAATAAAAGATAATATTTTTTTTTCATTTTATAATATAAAAACGTCGTGAACTAAGAAGAAACTTTAAATACACTTTGCAATGGGTGCTATATGCTCTTGTACTTCTGGTAAAAAACCATCTACTAAAGATGTAAAACAGAAAATACCGGTTGTAGAAGAATCAAAAAAGACTCAAGTATTTAATTCCTCTCAAGAAATTCTTGATGATAATTTCAAAACTTCAATTACTAAAGCCATTGATGAACATATCGTTACTGTTCCTACTGCTTATCAAGTAAATTATTTGTAAAAGAAAAACTATAATTCATTTTTTCAAAATTTCAATTAGACTGAACGTGATCGTATTGTCAATGAAATGAAACAGTCGGATCCATCATCTTATCTCGGTCTTCTTTACTCTGAATATCCTGATATCAATGGACAAACTGTGAATGACATGGCACGTAAATTAGTTACATCCAATAAAACCAAACAAGAATTAATTGATCGTATCGATAGAGATATAGAATCATCATTTGTATCACGAACCATTGATTGGAATTCATCGTCTCGAGAAACAGTTCGTCCACTTATAAGAGTATTTATTGAAAAGAGCGTAAATGATGCATTTGATCATATTAAACTTGAATAAAATAAAAAATTTAAATATAATCTCTTGTGTAAGATATACATGTATACAAAAAAATTTTATATTTAATTTATGAAAAAGTCTAGTAAATCATTGATGGCTTGTCGTCGTTTTTGTTGTTCAATTGCAACAGTAAATGTTAGCATAGGTTGAATATAATAGGTTTTGAGCCATTCTGGTCTATAAAACATAACTTTCTGAACATCTCGATTACGTCCAGCAATAAATATTGAATTGACTACAAGCAGTTTATGACGAACTTGTGACACATCATAAATACGATTAAGTGATGCACCAATTACATCACCATCTTCATCTTCAAACATAACTTTACCAATAAGTTCATCAGGATCTAATGCAGCACATGTAATATATAATACACGTACTTCATTATCAGATAAATTCTTATAGTTGGAATAATTACGTAATCGATCAAGACTATGATCCTTGTACTCAACCAAAGTACATACAATATCCAAATAATACATTAATTTTGCAATAGGATCATTTGGAATTTGGACCATACGACTTGCACGAGATACATCAAAACTATCAAAATGAAAGTATGCCATGATAATATTCAAACAAGATGTGAAATTAGCAATTGAGATCCATGATACTTATATACTATCAAAATGCAAAAGGAAGTAACCTATATATGTCTTGAGTCATTATATTGATAAATATTGATTTTTAAGTGAAGTATTCAGCGAACCGTGACGGAAGTAAACGTATACATGGAAAGTTGGAAAAAATATTTTAATGATTATGATGTCATCTAATTCGATGAAACTTGAATCATAGTATCGCAAATGTCACATTTCTTGGAAATTTCTATAGAGATAATGAATCATCTGACTTAGTATATAGATCAATAAATGATTATAAGGTAAGAAAGAAATACAGACTTTTATTTGATCAAGTTTAACTTGTTTATAGAACATGAAATATCTATTGTCTTAGAGAGATGAAATACAACATAAGTACGAAACAAAAAAGAAAACAAAAATTTGAACTATACAAAAAAGAAAAAGAAGAAGATTTTTATGGACATTTTCTATCAATAATAAATTTTCCACTTTCATCATATTCTTGTTTTGAAATCCACATTTGATGAAATGAACCTAATGAAGCAAGAATTGATCCACCAATCCATGAACTAAATCGTCGTTCACTAAGTGATGGTGGTATATGAACTTTCATACGCATCGCTTGTGGTAAAATTTGTGAAAGTTCACGATGAAGACGTTCAACAAGACCAAGATAAAATGAATTTCCTCCAACAATACTAATATTTGAATAAAGTGATGAACGTACATCAGGATCACACATGGTTACAGAATTTGTAACTAAACGTGGAAGATCAAGCATAGATGTTAATTGAACACCACCACCTTTAACAATAGATGGATTAAATAAACTTTCACTAAAATTTTCAATAGAAAAAGAAAAAATAAATTTCTTTGTTTTTTTTTTGTTTTCATTTGAAATGACTTACGGAATACGATAACGTTCTTCACCAAAATCAAGATTAAGACCATTTGGAAATTCATACGAAACACGTGGTAATTGACTTATTTCACTTTCATTATAGGGTGTATCAGATATTTGTAAAACTGTTTGTCCTAAATCTTGTAAAATTTCTTTTGTCATAAATTTTTTATATGAATCTGTTATATTATCAGGTACATTTGCTTTCATTACCCATTTTGGTTGTTCATAAGGTTGTACAGATTCACGTGATTTTATTAAATAATGTGGAACTATATCATGATTATTATTATCAAGTAATTGTTTAAGTTGAGATAAAATAAAATCTCCACCAAGTGGTGATTGTACAATAGCTTTTTGTAAAACCATTCCTTCATGTACAGGTACAGCTGTTGTATGTGTTGCACCACAATCGAGTATTAATGCTGTTGCTTTACCTTGAGCAAATGATGATAAAACAGCATTTTTAGCTAAATAAAATGCTGGTATTTGAAATTTTTCAAACATGATTTCACATAATTTTTCACGTTTAAAACGTTGATTTATAGGTGGTTCAGACATAACTAATGGATGATATTGTGGACCTTGTTCTTTATCACATAAACAATCAAATGTATGTGACATAATTTGTTCAAATAAATCCCAATCATCAATCATTCCATCTTTTAAAAATGATTGCATATAAAGATTTGAACGTGGTACACGTAATGAATTTAAATCAAAAAAATATTTTTTCTTTGGCATTGTTATATTTTGAGTATCATCAACATTCATTGCATTCTCAGAATTCGGTGTTTCTAATATATCTAATATACCAACATGACTAGGATAATCATATTTTGGTGTTTCTTCACCAGCATAACCGGCACGAACTGTATGTGAACCAATATCAACGACTAGAGCACCAACTTCATCACTACCATATGTTCCACTACTCATGTTTTTTAATCTAGAATGTAAAATAAATAAAAATTATATTTTTGATCGATGAATAATTAATAATAAAAACGAATTTTTCATGCAAAATTTGTACAGAATAGGGAAAAAAAAGAATCATTTTTGATTATTAGGTAATGATAATCTTGCAGCTGCTTGTTCCCATGCATCAATTGATTGATTATAAAAATCAATTTTTTTATTTGCCATTAAATGAAATAAATGAGTTAATTCTTTATCTTTTAATTCTGTCCAACGATGTATATCAGCTTTAATTGTTTCATTCGCAATTGTAAGTTGATCAAACATTTCTTCACTATTATTTGTTGTTACATTTTCTGATAATTGTGCACGACGTTTTAAAACATCTTGAACAACATTTGTAAATAAAACATATTCATTTATTGGTTCAATAAATTTTGTATTTGTATATTTTAATAAATCCATTTGATTTTCAACAATTTTCTCTTGTGTAGAAGATACAATATCAATAAATGAATCATTTTCATCATATTTTCTTTCAATATCAAGCCATTGTTTAAATGTTGATAATAGATGTTCTTCTTCCGTTTGTATTGATACTTGATCAGTTTCGATTTTACGAGTAAGACGTTCAAGTTTACGTAAATTATCTTGTAATGTTTGTATTTGATTTTCTGTACGAGAAAATTCACTTGGAATTGGTTTACCACGACCCATAGGTTGTCGAAATGGATTTGAATTTGTTGAAGAAATATGTGGTGATACGGATGATATTGTTGTTGCTTGTGTTTGTTGTTGTTGAGCAGTATGAAGTGTATCATCATCGGCTGATAAAAATAATTGTACAGATGAATCAATTGATATAACTGGATTATCAATAATACGTTGAAGAAAATTTTGTAAACCAATCATTCGTCGTCGAATAAATTCTCCATCATCAGCAACAACATGTAATTTATTTGATAATGTATGTTTAGCTGGTAATGGTGATATAATATTAAATGGATATTTCATATCAAGTAAATTTTTTAACCAAATAAAATCATTATAACGTCGACGTACATTTGTTTCATTGATTTTAACACTATCATTATATGTTTGTGTATTTACTAAATAGGTTACATATGAATCAAGATTTGATTTATGTTTTTTTGGATCACAAACACAAATTTTTATATATTCACGATTAATTTCAGCTTCTTCTTTACGTTCATTTGTTGATGGGAGTATCCAGTCATTATGACTATGACTTATTGATAATGAAGATATTTTCTCATTGAAATGTAAATCATTTGTATCTATTGATAATGATGATGATGGTGGATTATTTTCTTCACGTAATGCTCGGCTTAATGGATCATCCATTATTTCAAAAAAGAAGTTTTTTTTAGTTTTGATTAAAATGATATTTAATTGTTAATGAAACAATTTCAGTCAATCCATCGACAAAAAAAAAGAATAAAGAAAGAACAAATAAGTGATTGTTTAAAGAACTTTAATTGACGCATCACTTTTAAAAGAGAAAGATGTCGCTATAGATTGAAGTCTAAAAATGATATATACTATTTGAGTAGTTCTAATTATAGTATACTATTCATGTTAAGTATTAATATAACTCGAGTTGTAAATGAATATTTATTGTTAATATAAATATATCAAAGAGAATCAATGTTTTCTAGTTTAGAAGTACACTCTTTGATCGGAAAATCAAATAAATTATTAATATTGTTCTTCTCCTCATCATCGACAAATTTGAAATATAAGAATAGATCAGATATATGGTAATAGCCGTCGTCTCAATATGAAACCAGATTGTTACAATTGATAAGATTTTGGAATTTATTATTAGAGAAGATATGTGTAACTTAATACATAAAATAATAATTCTAAGAATGTTAATATTTATGATGAAAAGATAGAAAATTCATTAAAATATTACATATAATAAACTACTATTTTTGACTAGCATACTAACATTGACTATTGACAATGACGTACTCGTAAATAAAACAGTTAACATCAATAATTAATGTTCGGATGTTGCTGCATCTACAATTATATTATATTGTGTTTTGTACGAGCGACAATCATCGTATTCAATACGTTGAATGAGTTACTATTAGATTAAATGGAATACAGAATGATTCTCATTGTTGTTATCTTTCATTCTATTTTATTATGACTAATAGAATTCTTCAGACAAAATATTTGTTTGTTTATTGATTGATATGATTATTTAAATGACTAAAATGACTTATTGTTAAAACAGGAAATAACTAAAAGGCAATAGAGCGCAATAATTAGATCATCAAACAGTTTCCTGACTTGTTATCAACAATGAGACGTAATTAGAATCTAACCTATTATAAAATTTACGAATTGTTTTTTGTTTATATTTGATAAGAAAAATAAATAAACAGAAAGCTTTTAAATATATAAGATATCATCCAGTTTATTTATTTAATATATATATCGAATAATAAAAGAAAATAAAAAACAAATTAAGACATAATCTGATTTAAATATTGACCAAATAACAATGGATTACCCTTTTCATATTGTCGAAATTTATGATTAACATATTTTTCTAATGTTTTAGCGATTGTTGAACAAGTACAATGATATAAATAACCTTGTTGTTCCATTTCATGAGCAATTTCTAATTGATGATTATTCATAAGTTTTTCATTCACAACAACTAGCAATGGTTTATGTGCTTCAAGTGTTTGTAAAATCGTTCCGGCACCAGCATGACTAATAACAATATCAGCTTGTTGAATATCATTATCAATTGAATCTTTATATTGATAATGTTCAATAGGAATGGATACATTATCATACGATGGCATTTGACTATTACCCGTTTGTAAAATTATTTTATCAATATGTAAACAATTAATAAGTGTTTCAAGTACATTCGAATCATGAATAATAGTCTCAATTAATAGATCAAATTGAGTTGTACCTACAGTAATAAAAGCACACTTTCCCATTAGGCGTTTTCTCTTCAATCTAGAAAAATTTGTACATCACGTAAAATCATACTATCATTTATGTTAATGTATACAAATAAAAGAGAAAAAAAAAGAAAACAAAAAAAAAGAATACATCTATGAAGACAAATAATGGTGGACGGATTTGAGCAATATTTACTCATACACAT